TCATCATCTATTAAGCTTATGCAAACTTAATTGGAAGTTTGTGGTTAAGTTCCGGGCATCAGTCTGATGGTTGCTCTTTCTTAATGTAGCCGAGGTGGGTATGGATTTCCAGCTCCATCACGAAGAGATTCGACAAGAACTTTGGTTCGGTGGGTGATGTTGCACGGGCCTGTGTCAGGGAGGCAAACATCATCGCATCCCGGACGTTGCTGCTTCTCATGGTGGCAGTGGCAACGGGTGTTGACTTCATAGTGCCTCCATGCTATTTAACTAGATGCTTCAGCCTGCAACAATACTGCCCAAATAATGAAGTTCTCCAGCATGAGTGAATCGATGCAAGGTGGAGCAGCCCGGTTCTTCGAGATTGCGGTATTTCCCGCCATTTCTTAGGATGAAGTGCTTGGGAGTACAAACGAATCTGGTCGAAACGTGGTCGCCTCAATGTCCACCAGGGTTTCGAGGGAAGCTTTTAGACATAGCTAGGGCGAGCGAGAGAGAGAGAGAGAGAGAGAGAGAGAGAGAGAGAGAGAGAGAGAGAGAGAGAGAGAGAGAGCATATATATCATGGAGCATATACTACCGAGGTGGCTTGGGGAGTTCGGGCACTGGGCACCAAAGGCTACCTGGTTATTCGGCACCCCGCAACCTGTCAGAAATTGCCACGACCTCGCCTCATGCTGCTAGGAAGTAGTTTTACCGTATCAGCTAAGGAAGTATCTACTGCAGCTCAAGCGGAGCATCACCAAGCAAACCCGAGCTTCGCTGAAGAAATCCAACAAGGGCATGGTGACTAGAGTCAAGAAGAATGGCAAGATGAAAGTGTTTCTTGCCTGCTACAACACGAATGCGATGTATTGTCTAGTCGATATATACGACGATGTAAGAAAATAGATGTGCTCTTATAACTCAATGACCTATCCAAGGACTGGAGGCCCTCGGCTGAAAGCCAGTGGTTCCTACCCAACGGGCTTCTGTCATGCGGTCCGGGATCTCTTCGCGGCCAACCAGGCAGCCAGCAGCACGATTCGCAAATCCTACAGACATGAGGTGTTGAAGGAGTCAGCTCAGTTATGGCAGGGTCTGGGTTTGTTCAGGATTCACTGTGTTCGGCATGCAAATTTGGGACCTACGGTTGATGATATAAATCCTGCATTACCCATAATAAGGAATATATGGGAACTGTGGTATATTCCTTATTATGGGTCATGCAGGATTTGTATCATCAACAGTAGGACACTATATTGAGTTCAAGCCCAAATATAAAAGCCTCCACGCTAGTGTCCGCCAGTACTTGTGAATCCAATAGTTATCTCTAGCCCCAGTCACGCCTGGCAATCAATTTTCCGCCCTCCCCCCCCCTAAAAAGGTTGTAAGTGTAATTTGGTCGATCTTAGAACCCTAGCCTGCCCAGGCCTCCGAAACCCCGGGGCCCAATGTGCTGGCATCAGCAGCGGAGATCGAAGAGGTGGATGCGGAGTTCGATTTGTTGGTTGCAGAAGTTGGTTGGGTTGTGGCCTGTTGGCAAGGTGTAGTATTTACGCCTACCTAAACTAGCCACCCTAGTTGATATATTTCTTTCTATATACTACTACAGCTACAACTGCTCGTACTTACATAGTATACGACTATATACGACTATATACTACTATATAGCTACTACTACTACTACTACTACTTATACTACTACTACTACGACGACTACTACTACTACTACTACTACTACTACTATAGTAATATATCTGGTACTACACATGTATCAGCTAGTCAATACAACTACTATACTACTACTAGTACTAATACGTACTATACTACTATCACTGCTATCACTGCTACTACTACTAGTACTACTACTACTATACTACTACGCTACTACTACTACTACTACTACTACTACTACTACTACTACTACTACTACTAATAATAATAATAATTAATTGTAATACTACCTACTACTACTACTACTCCTACTACTACTACTACTACGCCTGCTGCTGCTACTACGTATACTACTACTACTGCTACTACTACTACTACTACGACTACTACTACTACTACTGCTGCTGCTGCTGCTACTGCTACTGCTGCTGCTATCTACTGCTGCTACTCTGCTGCCACTGCTATTTAATTCTCTCTCTCTCTATATATATATATTGCTATACTAGCTAGGTAGTCGTATATTTGTGTATATTCTTAGGAATGTAATATATTTCTCATCCAGCAACCGCATCGCGTAGCATCTAAACTGTCCGTTTCGGGGCTGTCGGGAATGTGTAGCTTCCGGGTCTTAAACAGTTGGAACCCGGCACTTTCAGTGTATTTCAGGAGGCATCGATTGGGAGTGCAAATATATTAGGGCCTCGGGCTTATGGGGGGTTCACAATGTTAACTAATCGAAGAGCTCAGTTCGCTGAGGTTTTCGGATCTTGGGGGTATGTGTGGGATCTGGGTAGTTTATTCTGAAGTACTAGCAGCGCCAAGCCATGCCAAGCCTGCAACCGCCGCCCAGAAATCCTGCGACCCCAGAATTGAAAGCCCGAACCCTCTAACCTTCCTCCTCCCCTTCCCCTCCTACAGAATCCTAGGCATCAATCCTCAACCACAAAAGCCGTCCTAAGCCTAGATCTGAAGCAGCAACAGCCCCAGTGGGTTGTGTAGGTCGTTGGTGTAAAGTACTCCTGCTGATGCTTTCGAGACACAAACTATTGTTGGTTACTTGGAGGCCCTTTTTGACTTAGTAAGTCTACTTAGTAACCCCTAGAAACCCTATTATAATCCCCATAACCCACCTTACTAACCCTACTTACTTAGTCAAAAGGGCCTCCAAGTAAGGTTGTGTGATGATGAGCACGGATCGAGGGTTTGGGGAGCTTGAAGCTTTTAGAGTTTGGAGGTACGAGTAGTGTAAATTTGGGATTTGGGTGGGGCTTATGGAAGATTCGCCTAATATAGTTTCATTACAAAAGTGCTGAAAATAACCGAAACGGATAAAGCTAGCAAGCTGCCTATATCCGAACGAACCAAGGACCTGTTCGACTTCGCCAACATGGCCCCTGTAGAGAAGTTCCTTGAGAGCGAAGCGTCCCGTGGCTCCTACATGCAAGATTTATTCTTAACCGGGTGGCTGATCGAGCATGGCCGAGAGGTGGAACGCACCCGTCAGGAAGCAGGGGCAGCAGCGTAGTTGCATGCCTAGGCTTCATGTACAAGTACTCAGGTGTGTAGATGCCAGACCGTGGCCCGCAGTCGTAAGTTATGTACTTACGATGTTCCAAGGGTGTATAGATCTGCTGGCTTGAACACACAAGAGTACAAATTAGCTGGGATTGCATCACTGTTGCAAGCCGCTGGCAGCAAGAAACGAGCAAAGTGGACTATTCTGGGTTGCGGTCGTCCATGTATTGCGAGTTCGAATAGGCTTTGATAGCTATAAAACACTGATGACGATGATGAAGATGAAAATTCTGATGATTCTGATGATGATGACGGTGTCGGGTGGTAGAGTTCAGGGGCCCCGGCGGGGCGTGATTCCGCGTGATTCTGCGTGAATCTCGTTTGGTGTTCCTAACTAAATATATATTAGGGTACACATCTACCGCGTGATTCGGCGTGATTTCGCGTGATCTGGGTTGGGTGCGCTAGAGGGATGTCTGCGTTAGGGTTGCGTGGGTGGGGATGCGTGTGGACAGTGGTGTGTGTGAGTGCATCATGTACATGCCAATGCCCAGCTCGGCTCTACTTTTAAAGGTCTGCCAAGGGCAGGGGAAGGTGTTTCTTCAGCCTGACATCGAAATTTCAGTCATGGCTGATTCGAAGCGGGCTCCGGGCCCGAATTTCGATGGCACCGAGGCCGGATATCGATTCTATAGTATAATTGGGTTCGTGGTGAATGTACATATGTAAAAAGCATTGCTATAAATTCGACAAATTGACTAATTGTTCAATAAAATAAAGAGTTGTATAAGTTACACACGTATATATGTTCTGTGTGTGTGTATTATATAATATATATATATATACATATATATATATATATAGATGTGTGTGTTCTATTTGAATTTAGGGGGTTATCATATATGAAGACTGGCAATTCTTTCCATTGAGGGGCTTGTAAATCATATATATATATATATATATATATATATATATATATATATATATATATTATGTGTGTGTACCTTTAAATGTATACATATAGTTACTGATCGGAGTTGGAAGTCCTGCTGGGGTTGGGCTTTGGGGGTTGGAGGTGGTGCTTCGCCCTACCGACGGGGAGCCAAGGCATGCAAAGACGGCTCCTCGCACACCGTTGGCCGGGTGTGGGGCAGGTGATGGCATTTCCCTCAGCAGCCGATCCTTGAGGCCAACGCGCTAATGCCGGCGCATGACAGCGGGGCCATGCGCTAACGTGCCCGCTGGGGAGTCATGGGTTGCTGAGGGCTCCTGCAGGGAATCTTGCAGGTGATGCATTGCCAGGAACGGAAGGCCGCATTGTTGAGTGGGGTGGTGGGTCGTGTGGGCCGGGGCGGGGTTTCTGAGTGGTTGGGTGCGTGGGCTGGACTGGGTGTGGTCGGGATGTGGGGCATGTAGTTTGTATGATACATATCAATGTAGCGATAATTGATTAATTTCACACATACACATATATATATATATATATATGTTAGGGTTTCAGATTATATATATATATATATAATAAGTATAAGGGGTTCTTAATTAGGTTATGGGACTTCTATCGAATTACATATAATATATATTATGTATATATATATATATGTATAATGCATTTCTGCAGAAAGCCCTATAAGCATAGCTATATATGACTGTCGAAACATAATTTGGTACGGGTGAACTGGACCCTGGAATCTAGTAGCGCGGCCTTCCCCTCTACTGATAGATATGCTGGTCTTGCAGGGATTTAGAACTTTTCGGGATTCAGCTTCAGGGCATGTTATAGTTTGTATGGGGTGTTGGGGTTTGCCTGGGCAGGTGCAAGTTGCAGCAATGGCAGCGGCAGCTAAACGCAAGGCGATGGCTAAAGCTGTGATGGCTGCTAGTGGTGGTGCGAGCAAGCAAGTTGTTGCTACGGTTCCGGATGATCTGAAGCGCCTTCGATCGCCCAACCTGCTGAGCACACCATCCACCTCAACACCGGTGCCGAAACACTTGAAGGAGGACGACAGTGTATGTAGTTCAACACCCGTGAAGAAAGTCCTGTTTGGAGAAGGATCTACACCTGCAAGAAACTAGATTGCAACCATTTTTAGCTTGAGTGCTTCTCCCAATAGTTCTAGAATTAAGTCTAAACAACCCCGAAACAGCCCCGACGATCTAAGGCAGTGCCAGAAAGTCTGGCCGGGAGTCAGATGTGGATATGGCAAGCACCCCTGCTACCCCGGCAGCCGCTTAGCTTGTACTTGTCTAGATCATGATATTCATGCCTCTAGGATACTTCCGGATCCCCTTATAATAATCCATGAGGCCAATCGAGCTCCGAGTGTCACGACCCTGGCGACGATGTCCTCAAATGGGAGCATCGAGGAAGCACTGGAGGAAAGTGTGAGGAGATTGAATCTGGACGTAGAGGCTCGGAATTACTGCCCTGGCTTCAATCGATCTTAAGCATTCTTATTCTCAAGGGCTCAGCAGATCCGTTGTGATTTGGGTTTCGATATATGATGATAGTCTAAGAACGAAAGGCCCGAATACCCCAAACCCCAATCGGGTACCGCCTTATACATTATATATATACTATTATTTATTGTACTTTTTACTCTTAAAATAATCATAATTAATATTACATGTATATTATTCTCTTTAAAGAGAATAATATACGTGTAATATTAATTATGATTATTGAAGTTATACACTCCGATGAATGCAGGAAGCACCCGCAGCGCCCATGGAGAGCAGCGGCCCGGATCCGGAGCAGCTGGTGCAGGCCTAGAGCATCCGTGACGTTAACTACTGGCATACGTAAAATATATATAAAGCAAAAATTAAACACTGCTATCGCTACCCCTACCACGTACCAGCACTGCCGCAGCGACTGCAACTTTTCTCGTGTACCTCGAGCCCCTACCCCTACTCCGATATGATACTTGGCATGCAGGAGACGCAGATTGAAGCGGACGCCGCAGCAGCAGAGGAGACCTATATCCCAGCAACCCAGGACGATATCCCAGCAACCCAGGAAGACCCGATCCTAGAAGAGATCCCCGTACCGCCCCCGGCTGCTGACAAAGAGCCCACACCGGCGGAAGAGCTGGCGAAGAGACTGCAAGACCTTGCAGCACGCATCAGCAGTGGGAAAGCTAGCGCGGAGGGGATTCAGAAAGCACTTCTTCGACCGAGCTCGATAGATTTTGAGGAGCTGTTCCAAAGCATGCAGACTGCATCCAGCATGCCCCCACCTCCTGTGCCTGCCAAGGCATTTGCTAAGCCTGCTTTGCCTGACCTGAGCCTCGAAGCCCGAGCTACCAGGACAGCTGACTCCTACTTTGCTTCGCCCTTCCCGACTCCCCGAGAAGACCCAGAAGAGTCCAAGCCGCAGGGCGTGCAGCAGGCAGAGAAGGTTACAGCGGAGACCCCGGCCGAAATTGCAACCCAGTCTGTGCAGCAACAGCAGATTCAAGGCACCGGAGTTCCATCCCAGCAGTCTGTGCAGGAGCAGCAGCAGCCAACGAAGACCCCGGCCGAAGTTGCAACCCAGTCTGCAGTGCAGCAACAGCAGATTCAAGCCACCACCGGAGTTCCATCCCAGCAGTCTGTGCTGACGCCAATGGAGACCCAAGAAGCACAAGGCCCAGCCGATTTGCAGCAACAACAGATTCAGCCTGGCACCGGAGTTCCGCCGCAGCAGTCTGTGCAGCAGCAGCAGCAGATTCAGGCCACCTCCGGAGTTCCAGCCCAGTCTGTGCCGACGCCAACGGAGACCCAGCAACTGCAGCAACAGCAGATTCAGCCTGGCACCGAAGTTCCCCAGCTTTCTGTACAGCAGCAGCAGGCCGTGCCAATGGAGACCCAAGTGCAAGTTGCAGCCCCTGAGCAGCAACAGCAGATTCAAGCCACCACCGGAGTTCCAGCCCAGTCCGTGCCGACGCCAATGGAGACCCAGCAAGCCCAGCAAGTGCAGCAACAGCAGATTCAGCCTGGCACCGGAGTTCCAGCCCAGTCTGTGCCGACGCCAATGGAGACCCAGCAAGTGCAGCAACAGCAGATTCAGCCTGGCACCGGAGTTCCGCCGCAGCAGTCTGTGCAGCAGCAGATTCAAGCCACCGCCGGAGTTCCAGCGCAGCAGCCGTTAGAGCAGCAGAGCCAAGCCAAAGCCAGCCCGAACCTAGCACTAGTACCCGCTGCAGCCGACCAGGGCAACAAGCCGACAGAGAAAGAAATCCAGGACACTTCGGGGTGTAGGGGTTTGAATATTTAAAGGGAGTGGAGGAATTTCGTGTTTGTGGGCTTTCTTAACTATGGTTTGGGGTTTGGGGCTTGGGACCAAGGGTTTCAGGTATTGTACTAAATAATTATATATATATACATATATAATTATTTTTACATATATACATATATACAATATATACATCTATAGGTGTACTTAATATAAATACCTAGTTCCGTCAATCGAGTAGCATAAAAATATAACTACCAAGCTTCCGAAACCTGAGTTGCAAGGATGCCTGCCGGCGCACTGTCTACATGCGCTTCAATAGGTCCATGGAGAGCTCCTTTGCTGGCACTACTTTTCTATATTGGTGCGGTCTGTAGAATTCGAACGACCTACACACATGCCGATATATATTACACATGTACGAGTACATATATATAAGTATTCACACAATAAATTATATGTGTGAATACTTATATATAGGTACCTACATGTATACATGTTTACTCACCTGGATTTCTCTAGGTGTACATATATGTATCCCCATATATACATATTCTCGATGATGAGTTCAGGTGCCCAATGCCCGCCTTCGGTACTCATGGAATGGAAGAAAGCGCACGAGGGCCTGAAGAAGGGTGACGTGGCGGCTTTAATCGATTCCGCAGCTAGACAGTCGCATGTCTGCATCCATCTGACTAAGACAACTCCAAGATCGGGAAGCTGTTCCGGGAATTTGTCCTCTCTGGTGAGAGCTGGGGGAATTCTAGAATCGTTGCACTGGCCAAGCTGTCCAAGACTATTGCCCGAGAGGGCGTGTGGTGCTGGTGGACTCGCGAGGAGACTGCTAAAGTTTGAGACCTGATTCGTAACACTCGTCAAGCAAGTAAGTTGCCATTTGCAGGAGATTGAGCTGAAGTACACGCAGACCAGGGCCGACGCCCTGATCCAAGAGAAGGACGCTACTCCCTCAGAACAAAATTCCCTAAACCCTAAACCCTAAACCCTTAAATTAAACCCGGAGCATGAAACCCCAAAGTCTTTACACAAGACCCCGAATTCGAAGTCCCCAAACCATACCCAAATATATATGTATATATATATAGAGAGAGAGAGGGAGAGAGAGAAAGAGAGACAAAGAAAGAGAGAGAGAGAGAGCCCAGGAGAGAAGATAAGAGAGACGGTAGGTCACGTGCATGCACAGCAGACTGCAAGCGCTTTACAATATTTGCAACCCCAATTACCTGCGAATCCAGACCCCAGGCCACCTTATATCGCAATTAACCCTAGGCCTCACGTCCAATAATCAGCTTCGCTTCGGTGCCAGGAGCAGGATCCAGCTTTGAGCAAAGCCCATCCTGACTTCCCGAATGACAAGGTGGGAAGTGGCAACACTCACGCATAAGTTCAAGAAACTAACCCCTGTATGCAGGATATGAGGCTCTTCAAATGTTGGGTATCAGGGACGGAGAAGGAAATTGAGACGGAGGAAATCTCCTGGAGCTACGAGCGTGAGGGTGAGGCGCCCGATTTCGAACCGGAGCCCGACAACAAGCCGGACGAGAACAACAAGAACCCGAGCCAGGAGATGAACAAACGCTTCAGGCAAAACGCCGGAGTGGTCAAAGCAAAAACAACAGAACAACTTGCTAAGACTGTCCCTTGGCTAAAAATCCCAAATCATTCTGAATCCCAAACTGAAACAAAGCCTGACTAGAGTGTCGGGGCTCTTTGTGGTTCGGGGGCTCGTGTTTCCGGTTGGCTTGCAGCAAACAAATATGTTGATTAAGGGCTTGGTATAGGGTGTCGAGTGGTTTCTGGTTCGGAAGATTCTGTTTCGGGCTGCAAACAAATAAGTATATTAATTAGGGGCTTGGTCTAGTACGTATAATAAGTTAAGCCGAGCATATATACGTGTGACCGAGGCTATGAACAAAGCCTCCGGGTATCTGCTGGAGATCAAGGGCTTTAAGACGAAGCTCCAGGAAAATGGAGTGTGCCCCGGCATATATCTTTATTAACGAGCAGTGCCTCGAACACCAAAACCCAATTGCACTGAGGGACAAGGGGTTGATGGATGCCCTGCTCACTTCGATGATGCAGCATCATGATTTCATTGTCGAGCACCGCACCAATCTCGAGGCATCCTAGCTGAGATCAATATATTACTGCACTAGAGGATGTTGGTCGGTTTCGCCTTGTCGATGTCTAATTCATAAAGCTTAGGCAGCTGTGGCTACCGGGCAGAAAGGTCTGCCTTTGGAGGAGCTCACCATGAAGCTGACCCAAGCGAACTCTACGTATGTCACGCAATCGAAGCATGTGAAGGTGCACCTCTCGAAGCCTAAAACCAATTCGACAACGAAGGGCAAGGCTAAGGGGAAGGCTAAAGCAGCCGCGAAGGCTGCAGCCTGAGGCAGCCAAGACGCAGTCCCAGGGCCCGTTCTGATGATCTCGAAGCCTTGGATGCCAGGGCGCTTTTTGCCAAGTGTTTTGGAATGTTTTGCTCGGGGCTTAGCTTGAGCGTGAAGCTGCTCCGGGCCCGCATGATTCCAGATCTAGATTAATAATCCATGCGCCTTACCTGCATACAGAAGCCGGGGAATGCAGCTGCTAGAGCATTCGAACAAGAGCCTGTGCTTGCTGAGCAGCAAAACAATATTCTGCGATCCCACATATTGTCGGTGCTGACCGTTTATGTTTATTTAGATATATCAGAGCTAGAAGCCAACCCCCACGCAGGTGAGGACACTGCCTTTGCCGACTACCTTTTGACATCCTTGGGAGTGGGTGCCTCTTGGTCTAAACTTAACCTTTCTGGAATCTTGGTCGTGCCGCAATCAAAGACGACTTTTCTAATTGCCCTAGAACCCTATTATAATTATCTTTCTATTTACCCTAGAACCCCATATTATAATTATCTAGAATTAAAATCCCTAAACCAGAAAAGCCCTAAAACCTTCAAGCGCTCGGATGCCGAAAAGCCAAAACCCTAAGACTCCGCATTAGCAGCCCTCCCAGTACCCGGAACGAGCCGAACGTCCCATGTATACAGAGTTTAATACTGGTGCTTTTATATGGGGCTTTGAATAGGCAAGTTGAGGATTCAGGGCCTTTGGATATTCAGGCTTGGAAATTATGGGACTTCGGGGTGTGGTATGGGCTTCGCGATGTTCCTGATCGTTTGGGGTGTCATGGCCTTTAAGCTTCGAGTACGGTGCTATTTTGTATATGGTTTACACAACGCCCAGCCAACCCTTAGGCCCAGGCCATACCTGAGCTCCTGGATAGCCGGCACTAAACCCAACACCCGAGATCATAAACCAATCCCTTGACTAGAACCCCGATGCCCCAAGCCCTGAGTTCTAAACCCCGAAGCCAAAGTAATGCAAGTTCGTGTTTCAAAGACGATTGTCCGGCAGTGGCAAGTCCAGCATATAGCCTGGGATTGGGTTAGTGTTCAGGCTACGAGCGCCGCTGAGCTACAGCAGGCTGCGACTGCCATGATTCAAGAATCGGCTGGACACGCATCACCTTTGACCCATCGTATAGCCGCTGCCGGCAGCTTTGGCCGTCACAGGCAAAATGTGGCACGAGACATAGCTAGAGCAATCAACCTGCCCCTCGAAACTTGCCTCGCTTATGTTGCAATGAAGCTGTTATTCTGTATACCTAATATATTGCAACCAATTTAGATGCCCAAATAATCCATATAAAAAAGCACAGCCGAGGACTTGCACTACATCAAGATTCCGATCTACTCCGAGGTGGACAGAAAAACTGAAGCTGAACTTTCAGTGCCATTCATCATGCCTCACGAGCTGTTCGCCTTCCTGCATGCAGCCTGGCCCTTTAATATATGTACATCTCCAATTAACATATGTCTGTGTGTGTACAATACCATGATCGATAGCCCAGTGTAATCTACAGAGTGTAGAACCCAATTTAGATGTGATTTGTATACCTGAAGCCCTATGGACCGCGAAGCCCCCTGGTGCCAAGCAACACGTTCAGGCTGAAGATGAAAGGTTAAGGCTTCAGGGTGCCAGTGAAGACGATTTCGGATTAATTAGGATCGCGGTGTAGGGATATGGCTCTGGGTACAGGAATATATGTACACTATATGCAACTGAAATTTAGACAAGCTTGTCCTTAAGGACAACAAGCTGATTCGAATCGACCCCAAAGATCTCGCGAGCTACTGGCAACGACAAGAGGCGGCTGCCGGCCGCAGGCCACCGGGCTTCGGATCTGTACCTTTGGGCATTTACGGGGATGACGCCAGGTTCACGAAGGGGGGAGACAAGATCATAATGGTCTCGCTGAATGCCGTGTTGCATGTGCCACAACCTGGGGAAGTCACGCGGTACCCTATCTTTACTCTTCGAGAATATATAAGTATGGGCTGCCGCTCGCTCTTTCCGGTGTGCCGTGTGCTGGCATGGAGCCTTAATGTATCTTGTCGCAAGCAGCAATCCTTTCCAATATACCCTGGATATAGCGATCTGCTTTAAATAATTATGTACTCGGTTACTGCTGGGCTGATGTATGGGATATGCAGGTCCTGTACCATGGTTTCCATCCAATGTACGACGTGGACGGCAACAAGCTCCCGCAAAGCAAAAATGCTATCGCTGGAAGTCCTATTGCAGGACGGGTCTCCAAATCGCAGTGCAGCAGCGCCAGAATCAGCAAATAGGGCACATGGCGCAGACTGCAAGACAATTATGTTATAAGGCTGCCTACGTTTAGTGCATGAAGACCACTCGGTTCGATGCTTCGACGAATTCGATCTTCGAAGCTGCTGGGTTGTAATTACCAATTATCACAAAAGTCGCCCCAGATCTAGATTCGATACAGGGAATAGCTAGAAACTTTAAGGTCTGTTTCGGGCCGGGTTAGGTGTGGGCGGCTTATAAGATGAATTCCCGCAGGTGGCACGAAAGCGGTGCTTTGTGAGCATCGCGGCGACTGGAAGTGGATGGTCCAGTTTTACAACATGACAGCAAACTGGATGACTGTTCCCAGAGTATGCCACATGTGTG